TCTACAGCCTCTAAAAGTAATATGTGCAGGTGCAGCAGCAAAAGGGATTATAACTTTCCTTTCAACAAGTCTATCCACACCACCAATACAATTATAGCGCACATCGCTCACATCGTTCGCTCGCTCGTTCGCTCACAACCACGCTCTAAGCATATATGTATACCCAATTCCTTATACCTCCTTCGTCCGGAGACTATTAGGAGCCACCCGGGGCAACTCGATCTCCGTCTCCATCTCTAAGCCCGACAGACTCGGAAACCGCCGACTGAAGCTGGCCTCCCAATCTTCCCCGCCCGCACTGGCTGGCGTCGCCGCCACCGTGGGACTCCGATCCTGACTGCCCGCTTGTCCTTCCATCCCCGTGGGCATGCGCAGACTCTTCGGTTTGGGCGGCAGCGCCGGACGGGGGCCCCCGGAGGAAGACCCCGGCCGCCCGCTGGCCGTAGGTTGTTTGCCAATGCTCGTCGGCTGCTCGGCGGGCGCACTCGCGCGGCTCGACCGCAGTTCCGTGGGCTTTGCCGGCAAAGCCCCCGCCGTCTCGTCCGTGTAGCGTCCGTACCCCGTCGCCGTCTTGGGCGGCGGAGGAGCCCGCGCCGACTCGCCTAAGAGTGACTGCACCTTGTTATGAATCGCCTGCGACCGTGGCCCGTCGCGCCACCCACCAGCCCCAGCCCCAGCCCCAGGCTGTCCGCCGTCAGCCACCCGTCTCCGATACTCGGCCGCCGCGTTGGCGACGCGTTTCTCCTCCTGGGAGAGCCGGCGCCGCTCCAGCTCCCGCCGCATTTCCGGCGAGATATCCTCGTTGCCGTCCATGTCAATCAGCTCACTGGCCGGCTCCGAGGTCAGATCCGCGCTCGTGAGCATCATTGGGGACCTGCTGGGGGCCTCTTCGGTGACGGGGGACTGCACTTTGCTCTCTGAGTTGCTGTGTTCGAACCGTCGGAACGCGTCCCCGAACCGCCCCGCAAACATTTTGGTGCCGGACAGCGACAAAGTCGACAAGCTCGATCGCTTGCCGTGCTTGGCCGGACCACTGTAGCGCTTGTCACGCTTCTTGTTGCTTTCTTCTTCCCGCGCGCGGAGATAGTCCACGTCCGACGAGATGTTGGCCAGTGAGTCCGCTTCCGTCCGCGCATGCTGCAGAGGTGCCCCGCCCTCATAGTAGGGCGACCGGGGTAGATCCAGGGACGAGCGCGCGCTCTCCGACCCACGGGTTAGCTCGTACCGCGCCCCAGCATGGACCGACACGGGGCGGGACCGACCGTTGGCCGAACGCGAACGCCCGGCTGACTCGCCCACCTCCAGATTGCTGGGTCGGCCGCCTTCGAGGGAGGGTCGGGGTGACGCCGACAAATCCGAGATCCGATCGGAGGACCCGCGAGGTTGGACCACGGCGTTCGTCGACGGCGATGGAGCTTTGGCTTTGAGGTCCGACTCCGACGGCTGCTTGTGGCTGGATGGACGTCGCTGATGGTCGGCCGGGGGAAACTTGTAAACGGGGCGACTAGCCGGTTTGTACTCGGCCACCCCAGGCGTCGGCGGCGGCGAGGTCATCGTACCAGTTGAGACCATAGTAGGTCGCTGCGGGGCAGGTTGGTACAGCGGTACCGAGGCGCGTCCTTCGTCGCGCGCATTGTCGACGCGTTCGACCGGAGCAGATTGCGTAGACGGAGGTTGCGTCGGACGCTGGCTGGCAGATCCCTCCGGACCGGGCGACTGGTGCTTGGCAAAGGCATCGTCCGCCAGCGCATTGGTGAGGCGCCGCGCAAGGTCATCATCTTCGGGACTAGACTCCGGCACGGCGGATTCAAAGTCGAATTTACCCCCCTTCTCGTGCAAAATCTGGAATTGATCCAACGAGGGAAACCGATTGGTAAATTCGTCCGCTGAGTCGCGGGGACGCTGGGCATTGTCCAGTACGGAAAAAGGATCCCCGGAGCCGCGGAACGGGGAGGGACTGGGCTTGGCCGAGTGGTGCGGAGACTGCGTCGGTCTGGTCGGACGGCCACGACGCATCGGGGCGATCTCCGGAATGATCTGGGTCTCCTGGACCGGCGGAGAGAAAACGGCACCAACCTGTGGCGCCTCGGTGGGGGAGGGCGGTAATTCCTGATACCGGCGGGCTTCCGATGTGGAGCGAGCAGCGTAGATCTGTCCGAGTTGTTAGGACCAGTGAGGTGACAGGTAATCGCGATACTTACATCATTGATGGGGACGTCCTTGCCCTGCATGTGACAGACCTCGCGCACCACTTCATAAATATTCGGCCGCTTCTGCGGGAGTTCCTTCAACATCCAAGCTGGCGGGGTTAGCGCGGCCATCACTACAATGTCCGGGGAACCTACCGATCAGCATCTTCAAGCGATCCGAGAAGGCCGGGTAACTCGGGAACTTGTAGCTGGCATTCAGAATAGCCATCTGGCCAACCTCTTCGAACGGGGTGGTATAATAACACAGCTTGTACAAGAGGACCCCCAGAGCCCAGATATCGCTCTTCTCGTCGATCGGCTGCTTCCGGTAGACATCGATCATCTCGGGACTGCGGTATTGCAGGGTGGTATGGCGCTGGACGTCATCTTCAATCAACCGACCCTCGGCGGCAGAGGTGGCGGCCGGGCGAGGGGGGGCGGCCGATCCAAAGTCGCAAAGCTTGTAAAGGGTCGCCCTGCCCTGGCGCGAGATCAGAACGTTCTCCACTTTGAGGTCGCGGTGCAGCAGCGGGGGCTTGAGGTAGTGCATGCAGGCCACACCTTCCGCCACGTCGGAGAAGATCTTGATGATTTCGGGCTCGGTCAGGCGATTTTGCAGCCGCGTGTTCATGAAGTCGATCAAACCACCGCCATCGCAAAATTCCATCAGCAAGAAGACTTCGTATCCACCACCGCGAAGTTGTGACGCATGGGAGTCGATGTAGGTGACGATGTGCCGATGCCCCTTGAGCTTCTTCATGGTTTCGACCTCAGTGCGCATGTTGGCCAAAGCCGACTTATCCGGGACCGCCACGCGCTTGAGTACTGCCCGATCGGAGCCATCGACCGGTTGGGGGAGGCGCACGACGTAGACATGGGCGAAGCCTCCCTCGGAGAGATATTTCTCGACGACGACGCGATGGCTGCCAACCTGAACTTTGGTCCCGGGTAAGAAGGTCCCCGCGGGGGCTGCGATCGCAGCTACCGGATTGTAGACGGGAATGGGCAAATGAGGCGCCGCATGACTCTGGTAAGAGGCCGGGTTTGGTTGTTGGGAGGACATGTTGCAGGAGCGATCGGATTAGGGGGGAGGGGGCGGAGGAGGAGGGGCCCTCTCGGGGCTCGACGGTGGATGCGGCGGACAGAAAGAACTCTATGACTGCTGCATAGGATGCGAATTCAAGAAGGTCTCAAGCGATGTATCGAGCCCGGGGTCAGTATCCAAGGGATCGGTGGTGGTGACGATAGTGAAGGTCCAAGGAGCTGAACCCGAGGTAGAAGGGATGGGGGGGGGAGAGGACAGTTGGCGCGGGGAAGAGGGAGATGTAGAGGATTTCTCCAAACAGTGAAGGTTAACAAATATAGGTCAATGAGTTGGAAAGTAGCGGGGGGAGAGAACCAAAAGGCAAGCAGCACAAGCAGCAGCCAGCAGGACTGAGGGGAAATAGGAATGGATTGGAATGGGGGGGGGGGAGTCGATGAATGGCCCGGGCAGGGGGAGGTGGAGGTCGGAGACGAGGGGATTGACCGCCTTGGCCAGAGAGGGCAGAATGCTATCAACAAGTCTATTTTCGTGGTGTTCAGTAAAGATATTTTCTAGGATAAAGAGTTGAAGAGAGAGGTCGAGAGAGACACGAGTGAGCCTTTCTGCGAGCTTTTTCGTCTAATATGTTGAGGTCTCAAGATGGTTGACGCTATTCGGTCTAGCATCCGGGGGGAAGGCAGGCATCGCATCCCCGTGATGTTGGCCGGTGGCTGTAATTCACGGGGTCAACTCAGCATGATTGTCAGGCGGAGATGATGAGAAAAGATGAAGAGGTCAGTCTCTCTAGTTTTATATTGGCTACTATGCGATGCGCTGGAGCCAGCGCATCTATCAATATCTCTTGAAATAGTTACCACCGCTGGAACTGGTGCCAGCCAAACAACCGTGGTGATTGGAGACGATAGATGTGACTGGCCTGAGGCAGAAAGCATGTGGACGGGGTGCAGTGACATAGCTTATGTCAGCTTTGACATAATGGCATAATGGAATCAACCGGGCGACCATCGCCCAAAGCGTCGAAACCAAAACAAACAAAGACCACCGCCTGGTCAGAGCATGGGAGCATTGGCTCCACTATGAGTATACACAGTAACTCTCTCTCTCTCTCTCTTTCTCTCTTTTTTATGAACTTATCCCACGGTAGCAGCAGCTCATTCTTGCCGAACTTAAGCCTCCTGCGGATGCCTTCTCCGTGGTGGAGAATTATTCGATGGCTGGCTGGCTGGAATGTTTGGATCCTGGATAGAATCATTCTCCATGGCTTCTCGGAGATCTGCTGGGTCCCTTGTCCGCCGCAAATATGTGGGTATCGATCCGTAGATTCGAATACTTTAACTTATATGAGTCGATGAGTCTATGAGACCTGCCATCCAGTGGGCCGCGTATGCACTGAAACACCACCATTCACACGCATCTTCAGATGTTCATCAAGATAGATCCATTAATCAAAAAGTAACACCGGCCGTTGCGTCTGAGTAAACACGCAGAAGTCCCACCAGTCATCCGCCAGGATTGTCAGTCAACTAGTAACTATACAGGCTAGTTTGTAGTCTGTCTGTCTGTCTGTCTGTCTGTCTGTCCACTGTCCACTCCCGACAACTTCTTCTCTCCTCCCCTCTCCTCTCTTCCCTTCTTTTCTCTTCTGTCAACATCTCCATCGCATCGACTGCGCATTGACTCTTCCTCCCCTCCAACTAGTAAGTCTCATCTCCCACCCCAATCACTCAATGAAAAAAAAAAAAAAAACAAGAAGGAAAAACAAAACACTGACACGGCCCTATCAGAAACGCGCTGCCACCTTCAGCGCCTAATTCATGACTTGCTAAACACCACTCCACCATGCCCTATCCACGACCACCCCGACACGACCATCTCCCATACCTGCGTTAAACACTTCTCGACGGACGCAATCAAGATATCCCAGCCAGCTGCATCCTCTACCCCAAACACAACCTCACGACCGAGTTGACGGCCGCCCCCCATCTCTCTACCCCAGACCCTACGATAATACCCCAACCCAACCAACCCACGGACCATCCGCTGCTATCACCGAAACCAACCAACCCTCCACCCTACTACACACACTTCAAGGCCACACCACACCATCTCCAACCAAGTACATACAATTGTGACCACATAATTTAATCAAACACTTTGCGAAACACATAATCACTCAACCCCAAACATGGACGACGGTCCACCCCCACCCCCTCCACCGCCCCACGGCACCAAGCCGAACACCACCCACGGCGAATACCGCAAGACCTCCGACCTCCCGCCGGGGAACTACGACATCTTCATCATCCCGCCGCACTCCGCGGGTTCCGGCTTCCTCTACCTCCCCTCTCTGCAGACCCAGCGCAACAGCTTCATCGCCGGCTGCGTCTCCACCCTCCTCGCCATGCTGGTCTGGGTCGCCGTCTCCCCGATCTTGAAGTCGTGGTACGCCGCCACCGTCGCCAGCGGGAACGGCATGGGAATCGCGGTTCTGGCGGTGGGCGTGGGTGTGGCGGGGTGGGCGTTTGGCGCTGCGCAGGCGGGTACTGGCGGCGGCGGCGGTGACGGGGGCGGCGGAGGTAGTAATCGCGGGAAGCGGGGAGGTTTCGGATTTGGTGGAGGAGGCTTTGGAGGAGGCGGAGGACCGGGTCCCGGTGGAGGCGGAGGTGGAGGTGGTGATTATGCGCGCGGAGGCAACCAGGGCTACGGAGGAGCGTCTGGTGGGGGACCCCAGCAACAGCACTACGGGGGAGGCGCATACAATCACAACGCGGGAGGAGCAGCCCCTCCACCACCACCAGGAGGAGGTGGAGGACCTTACGGAGCAGGAGGAGGAGGGCATCAATACCAACAACAGCAAGCAGGAGGACCACCACCGCAATCGTCACCGCCACCGCCGCCGCCGCCGCCGCCGCCACCACCACCACCACCACCTCAGCCCGAGCCTGAACCTACCCCTTCAGCATCCAGCAAGCCCTCCAGCGGTGCAGACTGGGAGAAAGCCCGCGAAGAAACGCGGCGCAAGGAAGAACTCCGCCGCAAGATGGAAGCCTTCAAGCGCAAGCGCGAAGCCGAGCAGCGCGAGAAGCAGAAACAGCGCGAGCGCGAGGCGATGGAGCGCGAACTGCGCGAGCGACGCGAACAGCTCGAGAAGGAGATGGCCGCCGCCAAGGAGGCCGCCGCGCGCGAGGCCCGCGAGCGCGCCGAGAAAGAAGCCGCCGAGGCCCGCGCCAAAGCGGAGCGTGAGGCCGCCGAAGCGCAGGCCCAGCGTGAAGCCGCCGAGGCCAAAGCCAAGGCCGAACGAGAGGCCGCCGAGGCCAAGGCGCGCGCCGACCGTCTGGCGGCGCAGGCGCGCGAGCGCGAGCAACGGCGAGCGGCCGAGGCCAAGGCCCGCGCGGAGCGCGAGGCAGCGGAGGCCCAGGCCAAGGCGGAGAAGGAGGCCGCAGAAAAGGAAGCCGCGGCCAAAGCCGCGGCCAAGAAGGAGGCGGATGCCAAATTCGCGGCCCTCAAGGAGGCTGCCGCGAAGAAGTACGCCGAGAAGAAGGCCAAGGACGCGCAGGAGGCCGCCGCAGCTGCGAAAGCCAAAGCGGCAGCACCAGCAGCAGCATCAGCAACATCGTCCCCACGAACGCCATCCCCGACCAAGAAACCCCCTACTACCTCACGAACCACATCCTCCGCAACCGCCGACGACGACGCCCACTCCTTCCGCCCCTACGATCGCGTCCGCCGGCCCTACGGCACCGCCACCACCACAACAACAACCTCCAGCTCCTCCGTCTACTCGGAATCCTCCTCGTACGCGCCCTCCCAATCCACAGCGCGCACCGACCCCCCGCCCCCGCCGTCCAATCGGGGACCCTACGCAACCAAGGACCCCGATAAAGTCGTCATCCAGGGCGTCTACGCCTTCAACAACGCCTTCCTCCGCACGCCGGTGGCGCAACTCGTGGCGGGGCAGGGGATGGTCTCCGACGGACTGGTGCTGCGCATCACCACGGAGGGTCTCTTCATCGACGACGACGTCCGCGGCGTGGGCCAGCGCGAGTGGGACGTGAAAGCGTGGACCATGAAGCTCGTCGAGGTCTGGTGCCCGCGCTACGCGGCACAGCACCCCAACCCCCCGCGCGGCCCGCCCCCCGGGCCCTTCACGAAACGCACCAACGAGCCCACCGCCGAGGAGTCGGACGCCTACCTCGCCAACCTGCTGAAGGTGTGCAAGAACACATGCCGGCTGGCCACGCCGGCCAAACCCGGGGGCGGATTGCACGTGCTGCGGGCGTCAGTGCGCGACCAGGAAGGCAAACGGTATGTCTTCGTGCTGCAGGAGACCGAGGGGTGGAAGGTGGCCATTGGCTTGCAGCGCTTGCGGCGCGGCACCCTGTCCCGCGCGCTGGGCGTGTCCGGCTTGGCCGTTCATGAGACGCGGACGGTGTTGGCGGGCTTGGGGTACTGAATTGCACTGTGCCTTGCGCCTGGCCCTTTCCTCTTCCGTCCCCTATGTGCCCTAGTGGGCTGAAGTACCGTGCAGGATGTACAGGACGTACGGTACCGACGCTGCGGGGATCGTTGTATCCTATTTCACGTTCTCGTTCCCAGTGTAGGTGAGAGTGATGACGATGATGACTGCATGAGCATTTGACCGGCCTGTTGAATGCATTGCATTGCATGGCGATGATGTTGATTGACACTGACCTACTTCTCCCTCTCTCCTCTCTCTCCTCGTACCTAATTACCATTTGCTGTCCACGTCCCGAGTGCTTCAGATTCCCGATTCCCCCCTTCGTTTTGATAATCTTGGCTTGGCTTGTTTCGCTTCATACCGCTGGTATTCTCTCGCTCGGTCAATGTGGATAGTTACATAGAACCTCTTACATCCAGTATATAAACCTATCCTATCCTTTCCCAACTGTCCCACGCTATTGAATGTACAGTACGCTATCTGTTGTCGCGGAGCCTGACGATACTAATCCCTGATTATAGTATTCGCCCGCAATGGAGCCCTCACCGTCAGCTGAGACCCAAACTCTCACCAAATTCTACTCAGCAGAAACCACACTGCATAGTAGCAGTAGCATAGCCAGATAATCCCATGGCCACCTAGGTCTCCCAGTCTACGACCCAATTACGGCATATCCAACGTCACGGAGTCAATGAATCATAAAATAGAATTGATCTCATCCGAATCCAGGATCTAGACAACAAACAACAAAAAAACCTAATTGAATGAACCAAAAAAAAATAAAATAAAAAAGGTGTGGTGTGGCAAACACACAGCAAAAAAAAAAAAAAACTCATCTCATCCCAGGTATATAACGCCCTATTGCCATCACAACAGTACACACTGAAATTTAAAAACAGAAAGAAGCCTGGCTAACAAAAACAAGCACGGAGAGCCCCTCGTTCTCATCTGTCGTTATCATCTAGTAGCGAAACCAGAAAAGATTCTGCCTCACGGTGATCACCAGGAGTCCACAAAACAAGGCAACATAAACAAATAAAAAAAAAAATAAGACACACTTTCTTTCCTCTTGTTTTGCCCTTGCCGTGCATCATAAAAGGGAAAAGTTGGGAAGGGAGGGAAGAAGATTAGAAGAGAAAAAAACAACAAGTCTATCGGATTCAAAACCGTCCCATCAGTCAATAGCTTCGTTCTGTTGGTCATGCATGCTGGGATCGAAAGGACTCCAAGGTATTAGAAACTTCGTGAGGTTGGAGAGTATAAAAGGAGACACGGAGAGGCCGTCGAAGGTGGAAGCGGTCGGATGGGACGATTGCACGACGAGCAAGTGGGTATGTATGGTAGGAGCGAATATGCCATGAAAGGAAAAGAAAAAGGACCCATCCTGGTTTATCTGTGATGCATCGTAAATATGGCAGACATGGTAGACGGACTTTTTTGTGCAATGCGCCCATTTTCGTCATGCAAAGAACAAAGTGAGTGTACCCAAGCGGATTGGTCACGCTTAGAAGGAGAATCCTCCAGGGAAACCTCCGCCGCGCTGGCCACCGGCTTGAGCAAAGCCACCGCCGCCGTTCATCATGTTGAAGAGCACGCTGGGGTCGATGTTGATATGGGTGCCACCCATACCACCCATGCCACCCATGCCGCCCATGCCGCCCATGCCGCCCATGCCGCCCATGCCTCCGAAGCCATGCATACCTCCCATGCCGCCGCGGCCAAACATGTCAGCCGGGTCAACGAGGTCATCACCGTTGTCATAAGAGGCGCGCTTCCTGGTCGCTCGTTAGTACGCTATAATATCAATAAAAACCCAAGGGACACATACTGAGGATCAATCAGAGTCTCATAAGCCTCACCAATCTCCTTGAACTTCTCCTCGCCAGAAGGATCATCACGGTTCTTGTCGGGGTGGTATTGAATGGCCATCTTGCGGTAAGCCTTCTTAATCTCCTGCTCGGAGGCATCCTTGGAAACCCCAAGGATCTTGTAGTAGTCCTTGCGCTGTGCCTTCTTCAGCTCGAACTCAGCCCGGCGGATCTCCTCTTGGATGCCCTTCTCCATCGGGTTCGTCTCCGCCACAGCCTTGTAGTCGCGCACCGCTTCCTCCCAGTTGCCAGCACCGCCATGAGCCTTGGCACGAATCTTCTGTGCCTTGAGGTAGCTGGGATCCAACTTCAGAGCCTCCGTGCAGTCACTGACCGCATTATCGTATTCCTTCAGGTTGATGTAGGCCTGGGCGCGGTTCTGCAGGATCTTGGCGTTCTGGTCCTTGTTCTTGGGGTCGACCTGGACAGCCTCGGTCCACAACTCGATGGCCTTGCGGTAGTCCTTGGCCTTGAAGGCAGTGTTACCCTCTTCCTTGGTGCGCGTCAACTTCTGCACGTTGCGCAGCATCTTGATGGCCGCCTTCATGTCGGGATCCAGACCCAGACACATCTTGAGCAGCTTCAACGCCTGATCGGTGTCCCCCATGCCATAGAACGCGCGGGCGCGGATCAGCATAGCATCGGGATCCTGGCTGTTCTCGCGCAGCATGCCGATGGCGATATCCTGGGCCTTGCCGAAGGAGTTGTCGTTACCCATGCGCAAGTGCGCCTCGGCCGTCATCAGCGTCCACTTGCGAGGCTCCTTGACCCCCTGACCCAGCATCTGACGCGCCTGGTCCAGGCAGAACAGCACCATCGACACACCACGGTCCTCCGCCAAAGCCTCCTCGGCTTGCTTCACAAACCGGAGCATCTTTTCGGCGGGGGCCTTGTCAGTGGCAGAAGCCGGGGGCTCGACGCGGGCGAGCACATCGAGGGCCTCGGTCGGACGACCCAGGCTGACGAGAATGCGGGCGTGACGGTACATGAGCTTGGTGTTGGTGGGGTCGAGTTCGCGGGCGCGCTCACAGTCCTCCAGAGCGGCTAGGTACTGGTTCGCGGCCATGTAGGCGGCCGCGCGGTTGGACAGGTAGACGGACGAGTCGGGGCTGATCTCGAGGGCTGTCGAATGTGACGATTAGATCTTGTAGCGAGTGCATGAGTCTGGACGCGGAAGAACCTACCCTTGTTGAACTCCTCAATAGCGCGTGTGTAGTTGCCATCCTTGAAGAATTTGTTACCGGCCAGCTTGAAGTTGTCGGCTTCGGCAGTGTTGCCGTTCGAACGGTGGGGCGGGGGCGTAGGGCTCCGTTCTGTCTTGCCATTGACGCCATTGGTGTCGACATCCATTGGGGTGCGGGCTTCTTCGCGAGCAGCAGCCATTGCGGAGAGTTGACGGAGTTCGTCGGGATGAAGATTGAGTGGGTGGAAGTCGGGGTCGTGGGTGTATCGATTCCGGACGGCGGACAGCGACGCACGAGGACCGGAGACTGACTTAGTCCGAACGGAGGCTGACTTGGAGGGGGTGGAGGAGGAGCGACTGTGGTGAGTCGGACGAGCAGTGGTGGGTTTGCGCGGAAGGGAAGGGTGCTGAGTCGAGGCTGGAACCGATGACGACTGCGGAGCACGTGTCGACGAGACGGGACGAGAAGCGGCGGAGGAAGAATGAGAGTGTCGAGAGGAAGAAGAAGAAGAAGAAGAGTGAACGGTCTTTGCCCGGAGAGGAGGGGGAGGTCGAGTAGAGTGAGGAGTTGAGGAAGGAGGAGGAGTAGGAAAAGATTTGGTCGCCACCGGCGGAGGGGGAGGAGGAGAGGAGGCGGGAGACGAGAGTGGAGTGGATCGGGTGGAAGTGGCCGCAGAGGAAGACGGAGAGAAGGAAGAAGTAGACAAGGGGGAAGGAGAAGGGGAAGAGGAAGAAGAGGAAGAGGGAGAGGAAGATTTGGTAGACTTGGATTTGGAATGCGAGGATGATTTGTGACGAGAGAAGAAAAGATGCGGGAGACCCATGCTGCTGGTGGAAGCCCCGCTGATTGGTGGAGCCCGGCGGAAGTGTCGAAGTAGAACGAAGGCGGTGGAAGAAGATGGGAAGCAGAGAGGATGAGGAGGCGGAGGAGGAGGAGAAGGAGAAGAAGAAGAAGAAGAAGAAGAAGAGGAAGAAGAAGAAGAAGAAGATGATGATGATGATGATGACGATGATAACAGCTCCTCTGCTGCACCACCAGGAGTGCACTCGCAATCACTCACTCACTCACTTACTCACTCCCTCACTCACCGACTGCAGTACAATGTCCAGTGGACTGTATCGTGTGCTTTCTGTCCTATCTGAATCCTGCTGACTCACTCCCCAAATAAAGAGGGGAAAGAGAAGGATAAGCACCACCCAGATTCAACAACTGCAGAACAGAACAGCTCCCAGACCAGACCAGACCAGACCAGAGCAACAGATAACAGAAACAACAACAACAACAGCAGCAGCAGACCAAGCAACAGAGCAGAAGAATCCAAGGTCAAGTCAGTCCGAATCTCCCTCAAAATAAACCCCCCCGCTGTCACCGGCTGTCAGGCCCCAACTCTTTATGGAGTCCGCCCACCCGCCATAATTCCGGAGGCTGGACGTTTCCTGGCCAATATGGCCAATATGGCCAATATTCGCCTCGTCATGCTCCCCCCCTCATTCAATCAAACAAATCTCTTAGTACTAGTTCCCTTTTTTCAAGCTAGCTAGCTACCAAGCTATCAACCAAGCAAGCAAGCAAGCAAGCAAGCAATCAAAGCGCTTCCATTTGGTTCTACCCTTTCCATCTATCTGGGGTGCTGGTCACTATCACCGAACTGGACAGTCTGGCCGATAGACAAGATGCACTAACAAGCAAAAGTACTGTGTTGTGTACAACTCCGTACCTCCTCACCCACTCTGCCTCCGCCTTTGCGTCTCTACCTTTGGCTCGCTCTGTCACGTCTTGTTCTAATTTTCCTCGCACGACGCATAAGCTCCCCCTCCTCCTCATCAGCTTGCCACGCTCCAGCCCAACCCAGGCCTGTGCGCTCCAATCAACGTTCAATGATCGCTTTACTCCGTAGGCTCCGTTGCTCATCAGTTGCAAGCTAAGAATTAGCAGCAGATTCAGTAGTTCCCGTAGCTTTCTGCTTGTCTACGACAGGCGCCTGCTCAGTTTGAGGCAAACCACCTGATCCTAGCAAGACTCCCAACTGCAAGTCGGCCTGCACATCACGGATGAGACAGCGCGCCTGAGCTTTGCAGCGCGCCTGTGCATCAGAATAATGTCGCAGGTACGGTGCTATAAGCGCTTGATGGTAGTCTCGGCCAATTTCCTGCAATTGTCCCTCGACTATCTGCTCGATCTTCTTCTTTAAAGCGCACAGCCATGCTTCAAGTGACTGCTGCACCTCCACCGCAGCTTTGCGAAACACTTGAGAGCCTTTCTTCTCGGCATACTCGGACATCAATGCTCGGACCGCTTGCAAGGTGCCGATTCCTAGTCGAACAATTGAGTCACCACGCCTTTGGCAGCGCGCAGGGGATGCAGTACTTACCCTTAAGCTGAGCGCATGCCTCGTAGGTCTCTTGCAGTCCCGTTGCAATGCTCTCGCTGAATTGGCTGCTCGCCTTCCGTTGCTCTTGCTTTGTCCAATCATGGAGATGCTGCACCTGTTCTCTCATCGACTCGTGAAAAGCGACGAGTCGATCCTGAAGTTGCTTACTGATCGCCTGGGGCAGCTCCCATTTGACCGACTGGATGGCCTCGGAATGAAAGCCGCCGAAGGCCTCTCTTAATTCTTCACCTAGTTGCTGATAGGCATCGGGCAACAATTCCAGAAACGCACTATGACACGTCAGATAACATCCCTGGGGGATCGGTGCACAGTCGACCTACTTGCGCCATCCGGGCTTGGTTTTGGTTATCATCGGGAGTGCTCTAAAAGCGAAGTCAGTTCCGGCGCGCAAGATTGGACTCTTTGACCGCATATTACATCTCATGGTTCATGTTCTGAATGTTCGTCAGTCTTGCCTGTTCGCCGCGCAACACATGAAAACAAGAGGGAGAAAACCCACCAGTTCTCTAAAGACACCCTGACGACGACAGTTCGCTTGGTACGTATTGAAGCGTAAACCTCCTTGACGGCAAGAGGCATTCCAGCTTGCAACCTTGTCGGGATATTGTCCGTTGCCGAAGCGGCTTGCATGGCCTGGCTTGTTAGTTGGACATCCTCCTGGTCGAATCGAAGACTTACCCAGCAATTTCGTGATCTTGTTCTTGATAATTCTCCGACCATCAGAAATACAAAGATCCCGGGACTTATTTACGGCCTGGAGCGGACAGTTAGTATCAGTTGCCCTGGACAAAACCAATCTTCGCACCTACCTCGGCCAGTTTGTTTAATGCGCTATGAAATCCTGCCTCGATCTCCAGCTTCGTCTGGTCAGAAATACCTGCCACTTGCGTGATGATGGACGACCAGAGCGTCATGGATTGCAGAAGCGAATTCAGCGCCACCAAGAACTGTCGAGCAGCACGCTCGCGGGCTTTACTGGTCAGCGAAATGCAGTACCGCTGCAAAGCAGGAATCTCGGTTTGTTCCAGATGCGAGAACCCACCAACCCGGATGTCAGGCTCAGAACGGCCGCGCAGTCCGTGGTAGGCTCTAGGAGACACGCAGAACACAGCAAGATTCCGCTCCAGTTCGCTATAGTCACGACGAGGAGTGAGAGGCATAGCGTCGTCGGCGTTTTCATCTTCTAGATCTAAATTTGCAATGGTTTGAGCAAAGTCGCGTTTGATTTCATGCTTCGAAAAGTTATTTCGAGCCTCGATGCAGAACCGAAGGTCATTGAATTCGATGTTCTGATTTTCAACACTCAGCCGCTTGATTTCATTCTTCGTGTTCACAATTTGCTGTTGAATTTGGCGTCGCTGATCGTCGAGCTCTTTTCGCTGAGCTCTCAGTCCATGCAGCTTGCGCCAAGATTTTGGACGATCGTCGTCCTCGTCTGCGTCTTCCACATCTTCAGAGAGGGTCATAGTCGAAATCAATTCTCCGGGTGACTCCTCACCCATACGAATCCTCTTGCGTTTCTTCGGAGTAAGCACGACTCCATCGAGATCGCCTTCCTTTTCTTCCAGTTCATCGATCTCGTCCTGAACGGCATCAAGCTTTGAAGATATCTGCTCTTGGGATTCTCTGTGCACTTGGAGCTCCGTTTCCAAGCCCTCAAGCCGCTCCAGATATGCTCCCCGATCATCATCAATTGACGGTAGCTCAATGTCCAAAGATCGCGCCACTTCAGCCGGAACGATGTCATCGGTCTTGGTGCAGATGAAGGTTATGTCATTGAATGCACCGTCCATGTGCATCTGCGTCTGGAAGTTTTTGCCCAACAGATCATGAGCAACTTTGTCATCGACCGCTCGATTGATGGGTGCCACAATCCAGTGTGCGGAGCAACGCTTCATGTACTCATCAGCCACCGCAACCCGCGCTGCATTCGAATCAAAGACCCCTGGAAGATCAACTAGGACAGCTCCCGTCGACAAAGCTTCGGCTTTGACAAAGACCCGAACAACACGAACGAGAGGCCAGAGCCCAATACCTTGGTCGGCGAGTCCCCGATCGTCCGACGGCTGTGAAGCAGGTGTCTTCTTGGCTGTAGACTTGGGCCTGCTCCTTTTCTTGCCCTTGCTGTCAATGTATGCCTTGAGGCCTTCGGAGAAGCTTTTCGAGTGATTCTCCTCGATCCGAATGGTTCGACCCAGTAGATCCGAGACTCTCTTGTCGTTCATAAGATCATCCGGCGAAGATTCAAGAAGTGTTGGCCGCTTGAGGGCCGGGTATACAGCCATGATTTTGTCCAATGCGATTGCTGCTTCGGGATCCCTGGGCGCCTCGCCACGAGCCAGTAACTCGGCATGATCACAAAGCTCTGCAAACAGGATTCGAAGTTCACGCTCCCAGGCCCTGTGGCTGATAAACTGGACTTCCGCTTTGTAGCAAGATTCTCCATCATTGTACGAGACTTCGATCGGGACGGCTGTGGATGCACGCATACAGTCGGTGGTCAAAACACCCTTCTCATCAACGTTAATCAGCGACGATTTCCCGGCACCAGTACTTCCGACAATTCCAATCACAACCTTCTCCTTACGAGCTTTGGAAAGAGTCTTTTCTATCTCGGCCCGCCAATCGGTTTCTGTCACCCAATCATCGGACTCGCTGAAGAGTTCTCTCATTTCCGTCAGCACCTTGACACCTTTGGTCACGGCGGATTCAAGCGCCTCAATCCTTTGATCTGCTGTGTTACCGATGCTGTACACTTCCTCCTCCGATGCTACTGCGTCGGTCGCATCGACCATCGCGGCGTCCACTGCCGGAGGACTGACAACAGCGACAGCCGTTCCTTCCTCCTCAGCTTGGACGGAGCGCAATCCAGATCTAGTCTCGGGGCTCAGCAGCACTTTCACTGCTGATGTGAATGTGGAAACTTCAGACGCAGGTCAGCAAGACTATCACAGTTAATTGTGAGACAATTTGGGACAGGTCTCTAATGAGAGAAGTACTGACGCTGGATTGGAAAAGCTGCTGCCGCTGGGTTGGAATCTAGTTCTGCATAAAGCTTGGCGTAAAGTGTCTGGGCGAATTCGAAATCGTTCACCTGTGCTCCCTTGTATTGATCCGACGAGACTAGTTCAAGAGCTCGTTCTGAATACGCCGCTTGAACTTCATGCTGTTCGACTTCCCATTTCCCGGGAAGATCGAGACACCGGGATGCTGCAAGGGACTCTTCAGTCTCCTCGTTGGATCACCCCACGGAAAGGATAAAAGAAGCTTACTATTCTTGTTCTTTGCAGCGTTGTGGACGTTCCGAAGTGATTGCTCAGCTACATAATGTACCTTGGCCAGCTGGTGGACCAAGGCCACATCAACCGGCTCAGGCAAAATGGCGGCCAGATCCATGTTCCCTTGCACGGGGCACAGAGGGTCAGGGTTCCGATTAGTGCTTCAAGAACCAGTAGACCGGTTGAAGCGAGTAGTGTAGCTGAAAATGCGCATCTAACAAATCTACACGAAAGAAGGCGTGGTCTCGAGCGCTCGTAACAGGGGAAGGGGAAGGCAAAAGTGAGGGAAGGAAGAGATAGGTGGGTAAGGAGAAAGAGAGACGAAAGGGACTGGGGGTGAGGAAAGAGAGAGAGGGTCAGGATATAGGACAAGCGTAGGCATATTTTATCTCTGTGTTATAGCGGCTTAGGCCGAATCCAACATTCACTGACCATCATTATGTTATGCTGTAGGTAAAAAGACATGTGTTCTACCAAGATGTGTACATACTCTTGTGTTATTGGGACACTGTGAGTAAGAGTAGATTACCAAGAAGCGAAGCGCATCTCAAACGCGAATAAGAGTATGAAGCGCAGGTACGAGATATTACAATCGGAAAATAGTACTCAGCACATCTAGTTAGAGGGAACCATAAGTAGCTGAAGTAAACCAAAGCTAAATCGAGATTGTGGGTATCATCGCTCTCTGATGCAGCAAACAGGGCCAAAATGAATAGAAAGGCAACCAAGGTACAGACGGAGAAACCAAAAGAACCACAGCTTCACTCGTCAAAATGACTTCCACTCATCATTCCAACACAAGATGAGACAAAGCACGAGTCAGGAGCCTTTCTCAGCCCGAGAGAGCCCGGTTTGCTCTCCTGCGAGCCACGGCTGACCAGCGCGATCTCCGGCTACTGCTAACTTCCCTTGCTCGATCGGAAAGTGGAACAAAAGGTCGATCGTAGATGTGATGTTCATACCGTGGAGGCTGGTCGGAGTATTCCGAGTCGGAAGCGTAGTCATCAAACACCGATAGGGAGGATGGATGTCCACCTCTGCCGGTAGCACTGTGTATCGAGCGAGGAGCCAGTGGGGAAAGATATGGTGCGGAGGACGAGGGCGACGAAGGCTTGAGGACCCAAAGCTCTTCCGACTCAAGCCAGATGAGTTGGCTGGCCGGTGGAGTGGTTGTCTCGCGAGACACAGGGCCGGTGGTGTGAGCAGGCTGAAGAGTGAGGTCTGTCATGCTCCTACTCCGTGATGCCCAGGGAGAGTAAGCAAACGATGATGAAGGTGGAGGAGGAGGCAGGTTGAGAGCCGGGTAGGTGGATGGCGATGGGCTTGCTTCGCGAGGGCTAGGTGTACTCAGGTCCCCAGTCGAATGTATTCTGAAGTGACAGCGGCGGCAGAGTCTAGGGTCCTGTCGCTCTTGGGTTGAATATGGACAATAATCTGCCTTTGGCCTGGGAGAGTCGCATGCAGAGGCAGGACGCTGAGGTAGTGTGCTAGCCAAGCCAGTATCAAGGCGAATACGTGGGACAGTCATGTATTCCTTTGGGCTCTCTGACGAGACAGTGAAGCGCGCGTCCGCGATGGGAGGGCCTTCTAGTGACGAGAGATCCATTTGGACAAATAGCGACGGTGGGGTAGGACTCAGAGCGATGAGTTGGGGTAAAGCACAAGCAGCCGAGACGACCTGATAGCGAGAAGCAACCATGTACACTTCGGGTAGTACGAAGCGATATCGGGAAGTAGTAGAGTGGAGGAGGATACGAGAAGTTGCGGGAGGGAAGAGGCATGCGAGAAATTGGACAACAAAAGTCCCGACAGCGGCCACGCTGTTGTTTAATAGACATGAAGTCGAGGCGGAGTCACCAGCATCACGACGCCGAGCATCTTGCTCAGTTCTCCGATGTGCACGGTCATGACGGCTTTCTTTGACCGTCACAGCAACAAAGAAGTCAGATGAGACAAGACAACCAACAGGGCCAATCCGCACGGAAAGCCTTACTTGCGCCTCATTGTGGGCTCACCAGATCCAAGCTATCTGGGCCCGATGGAGGGAGCGGTGGAGCAGACAGCTCATGAACAGGTCGGGAAGGATCGAACAATCTCAATCTGTTGGTGGAGGAAACTCGGGTTGCCCGGCTGGTGTTCGCCTTGGTATGGAAACCAGCCAGGAATCCGATCCGTCGGGAGCCTTCTGCCCCCGCTATAGAAGGATCTTCCTGTTTGCCCTGTAACCTCCGATCCAAGTCCCATGGGATTTGACCCATCACTTGGGGGAGGGGCAAAGGCGCACGGCAGCAGGAATTGGGAGGGGGTGCACCCTATGTTGTGTGATGTGCAACCACTATGCCCGAAGCAGAACGACGCAGAACGCGGGGACGCCGAGAAAAGCATGCTTTGCTGCATGGCGCGACATCCATGGGCTGCAGACGCCATGGTAAGGAGCTCATGTTTCAGAGTTGAGAGCTCTCAAAGGGATTGAGGAAGCGGAGGCTACGTGATGGCCGCAGGCGTTGGTGTGTTGGTGGCAAGTCAGTGGTTCGGAACACTGCCACTTCCTTTGTTGTCCGAGCTTGTGTCCGCTTCTGCATTACGGCGAAAAAGGTCAATCTATTTGGGTCATTAGACTCCAGATGGACCTCCACCCCAATGAAGGATGATAAATAAGAGTCCCCTTTTCGTGTGTCTCTGTTGTTGGTGGGAGCAACAGTACGAGGTACAACGCGAGTAGAGAAATTGTTGTTGTTGTCAGACCGACAATTAGTTAGAAGGAGGGAAGGAAGTATGAGAAGCGACGGGCCGAGACCAACACATGACCAGCCAGCCCGAATGGGGAGGAGGAGGAGGAGGAGGAGGAGGACCGGGGTCGGAGTTTGTAGTCAGCAAGCCTTAAGGAACAGCAAAAGAAAATCAATAATAAATACCGACAACTACAGCGATAACAACACATACACACACAGCCACCATGAAGTCCCTCTCGTCTTAGTTGGGAGACCAGACTACAGAGACCCTCTCTGATGCTTCTAGAAAACACCTCCAAGAATCTCTCCAACTTAAAAGAGATAGGGCTGACGGTGACACAATTGACCAGATCAAGTCACTTTTAATTTAGCACATACTTTCATGGACTGACTAATAACCCGCTCCAACATGGTATATGAAACAAGCGATGGACCACCACCACCACCACCACCACCACCCATCTAACTGGCAGTGAGCCGTGAGCAGTGCAGGGGGCAGGGGGCAGGGGGCAGGGGGCAGGGAGGCAGTGTTCGGATACTTCAAAGTTCAGCCTCAACTCTGCTTGGTCCCCCTTCGTGTTGTAGGACGAGAATCACCAATGAAACGCCCTGCGCCATCGGATCTGACCCGGTCGCCGATTGATGAAGGGATTGCCTGCGAAACCCTCGATGCTGCGGCCCCCAAACCACACCCAAGCACACTCACACCCTCTCTCTCTCTCTCTCTTTCTCCCTCGTCTCCAGATTCAGCCCCATTGAACAACCTATCCTTGCTTTTGGGTTCTATAGGCACATTGAACACGTCAAGACCCCAGCAGCAGACTAGACTACCTACGGCTGAACGAAGCGATCGGTGGCAGGTTACCCACTGTGGGCTGGCTGGGCTGGCTGGGGCGGGGTTTTCTGCGCAAATAATCAATCTGCAACACGCTCACAATTTTGAGATTTCGCGGTCAGAAGGTGAGAGACGATGCATCAAGTGACATTTCAATCTGAAAAGATCCCACCCAGAAAAAATAAAAGAAATGTAGCATTGGTAAAGTAATCTATTACTGCTTCGAATTGGGTATGTGAAAGCAATTCATGGGTTACATTAATCGTATCCAGCCACCAAAAAGGCTTCCACTGAACCCCCCCAGGCGTTTCGGGAAGCATGTAGAGAAAGTTAGATAGGTCAAAGAAAATATTCCAAGCAACGAATCGGATTTCTCTCCCAGAAAGCAAAACCTCGACACTAAATATGGCACAAACACCCCCCAACAGGGTCTCTTCAATTATTCACACGCGCCCTAGTTTATAGGGTTCCCCCGCCCGTGGTTGACGGCCGGACTCTCATGAAGGACCCCGGGGGCTACTATGGACAAGAAGGGGGAATCTAAGCAAGGAAAAGAGCGGCGGCGGCGGCGGCACCAGCGAAGGCAAAGGAGTTGCCGTTGATGGCGCTGGCAGCACCGGTGTAGAGAGCAGCAGAGGGGGAGGGGCTGTGTACAGGGTTAGCGTCTGTTTGGTCTGCATACATATATACATGCTGCATGCGCTGCAGCAAAAGGGAAATACTCACGTAGCGCTGCCGCTAGGGTAGCCGCTGCCGATGGCGGCGGCACCGCTGGGGATCAGAGCAGCGGACTTGGTGGGCTTGCCGCTGCCGGGCTTGCCAGGGAGGCCAGTGGCACCAGCACCGAGAGTGACGGTGGAGTAGGTGACGGTGGGAACGCAGGTGGTCACAGCGATAACAGTGACGGAGCTGCTGGCAGCGGCGGGAGGAGCACCACCGGCAGTCTCGGCAGAGGCGCCGGAGGGGACAACAGCGGGAGCCGAAGGAGCGGAGCCGGAGCCGCTAGCGGGGGAGCCACCAGCAGGGGAGCCACCAGCGGGAGAGCTGCCAGCAGGAGGCTGGGGAGCAGCGGTGGTACCAGCGGCGGAGGCACCCTCGGGGACAGAGGAAGTGGGCTTCTCAGTGACGGAGGAAGCAGGAACCTCAGGAACGGAGGTGGTGGTAGCAACGGGAGAGACGCCCTCAGTGGTGGTAGCAGCGACAGCCTCGGGGGTGGAAGTCGAGTGGACACGTCCAGGGCAGTTGGTGACGGTGGGAGCGCAAGAGATGATGGTCACATCCTCAGTCTGGTAGACGGTCTCGACATCCTGGGGGATGGCAGCAACGAGGCTGGCGAAGAGGGCAACGGTGGCAACGGAGAAACGCATCTTGAATGTTGTGTTGGTGGATTTGGTGATAAATCTAAACCGTCAAGGTTGATTCTGTTATTTGGGTGTTGGTGGGTAAAGAGAGTGTGGACAGTTTGGCTGTGTTTAAAAGAGTGGCAGACCGAAGTCAAGAGGATTGATTGCTTCAAGCAGTTGAATCTGAGAGAAAGAGAAACAGAGAAGAATCAGAAAAGACTGGAGCAGGAGGGGGGGGGAGATGAGAGCCTTTGTATCATCCGGGAGATTAACCTGGAGATCGTTTCAGAGCCAAAAAGGGGAGAAGCGGGCTGCAGGCGAGTGGAGAGAACCAACTTGCGTCTTAGTCTAAGTCTTGGATGTCTGATGTTGGCTCTTGGGGCGCGGTGTAAGTGAGTAGATTTAGTCCAGGATAGTATAGTCTAGTTTGGAAGTTTGATACTCGAAACCTCATAGGCAGTTTAAGGGTCAAAAATGGGTCCACCCTCATCTGTTTTTTTTTTTTTTTTTATCTATTTTATTTCTGGTCCTCGTGGGATAGTCTCACGGTTGGTCCCTGTGCCCACTGCCCAGGTTCGGTCCAAGCGCGGGCGGTTCTGAACTTCTGAACTTCTGATGGATGATCGGTTGTTCAATTGCTTCTTTCGACCTTGTCGACTTCCCTTTTCGGTTGGATCCTCTGCGCTTAGGGGTTCTCTAGTCTTCTCCAAGTCCCTACTACTCCGTACTCGGGTCGGGGTCGAAGTATAACATTACCAGCTATAGATTTCCTTTTAGCTCCAGCAAGAGGCCGTACCTGCATAACATGTACGTAGGTACCCTTGGGTGGTATGAGTTAGAACTTGGTGAACGACCGGACCAAGCTCTGTGGTAGTTTCATGATTCATGCAGAGTACACAAGCCAGTAACCGAAAATGCGAATCTGTTCAGCTGGGACTGGCGAGACACCCAGAAGTTTGGAAGTTTGGGCTGTCACACCGCACCCAGCGATATGATGAGAGTCAGGGGCAGCAACTCAATTACGGAGTTGTCTAGTCTACCGAGCCACAGAAACGTTGGAGGCCCGCTTAGTAGTCCGTGTTTCACCTTGCCTCTTTAGGCCAATCAGCGCGCGCTTCTGTGGGTCACACAGCAATTGTCCCTGACGCCACCGACCATTCACCGTCTTGGCTGACATCCCGCTGTGGCTCGCTTCCCCGCTGTCCTTCCCTTCACGGAATCCCAGTGGCCAGCACAGTGGGTCCCCTCATTGCCCCTGTCTCGCTGCTGCGAAGTTTCGCCTTCCATTGTGCTGGTGGCTGTTATTGTTGTTGTTGTTGTTGCGAAAGGCTTGTTGGTATGGAGTGGTTAATACTCAATAGGCAAGTCTCGACTACTAGCCTAGTAGACTACCGAGTCAAAGCCAATGGGCCAAATGCTAAACAATGGATAGTGTGTCCTATTTTTGCTCGGACGAGATTCTTCCACCGAGGAGGTTGTAAACCCCATTCTGCGAAAGTATGCGGTTAGCAACCCGACTGACTCTTGCCGACTGGAGGTGATCCATAATCACAAGACTTAATAATGCCGCTGGTGTTGACCATAGCGCCTGGTGCTGGAGGGCAACGGGCTGGGCGAGGGTTAAAGCCTCCGTCCCGATTCCTCGTGAAACCCTTGCTTGTTTAGAATCTTCTTTGAGCTTGTTGCACTTCGACCCATCTCCCCCCCTCCCCCCGAGCATGTGGTTGCGTGCAACTTCTGACGTAGCCTCGCAACGATGATAAGCAGCAGCACTCTCTCCGCTCCATGTGCTTTTCCCGCCGTCTCCTCGCCCAATCCATGAAGGCACCGCCGCAGTAGAAGATTCATTTCACCGCAAATGATCCAGTTCTCTCTGGTGACCACTGGCCCCATCGTATTGGACGAGTCCAGAGTCTCGCTCGGCGCCACGGTCGTCCTCATTGATTGCTTAATCTAAACCAACTAGTCGCTAATCGAGATTCGGCTAGCCCCTTGACTCTTGACCTCGAGAGGGGGGATACCACCTTTCTGACTGTCCTTTTTGACTTTCTTTCTTTCCATTGAGCCGTCGAAGCGATGAGCAGACATTGTACTTACTGTACGTGTCGAGATCGGCGTGGTTTGTGGAACGCGGCAGAAGCAGGAGAAGAACAATGCAGTGACGCGTCGGAGAGACGCCGTGCCTACAGCAAATGCATGCGGAAGAGGTGATGGCGCAATAGAGAAGGACTTGATTTGATTGGGGGAAGGGAAGAGTT